CGTACTGTAGCTTGATACACACGTCCTTTCAGATTCAGGGATAAACCATTCTGACGCCATAGGCGTCTCAATTTCGCAAACGCGGCCCGAGCGTTGCAGATTCGTGCATTCACCTCATCTGTCACACTACGATCAGAACTAATACAACTTCCAAGGTATGTAAAACGCTCCACAACTTCCAGTACCTCTCCCTGGATCGTAAGGTCGTGTTCAGTGACTGCACGTCCACAAGCATGACCTTACACTTTGTGGGTGCAAAGTGCATATCAAAGGACGGGATGACTTTGGTCAGTTCATCCAAGAATACTTGCGCCTTCTCCGTCTCTTCGAACATGAGAACGATGTCGTCTGCATATTCCAGATCGACAAGGTTTTCTTCATTGGCTATTTGAACACCAGGGTTTTGGAGACCCTCCAGCTTTCGTCTCATTATTTCATCGATCACAAAGTTGAAAAGTAATGGAGAGAGTGGGCATCCCTGACGGACACCGCTTTGTGTGCGGAAGCTTTTGGAGAGCTCTCCGTACACTCTCACACGTCCGGAAGTCTGAGAATACAAAGAACGTATTGTGTTTTCAAACTTCTGGGGCATTCGTTGGTGGGCAAGCGTCTCAAGAAGAACAGACCGATCAACCGAGTCGAATGCGCCTCGGAAATCCAGGAATACTAGAATCGTGGGTCGCTTATACGTATGGCGTTGTTCTAGTACCTGACGCAGTGTGAAGATTTGGTCAACACAACCCCTACCAGGCCGGACGCTTGCTTGCTAGCAGGGAATGACCTTTGATCGCGATCAGTTGTTCGGTCGGGCTTTTCCATTGGTTGCTCCGTTTTACCGTTTCCCCATTCACCGTTACCCACGTGAAATTTGAGCTCGACATCCCCTGCCGTTGTAATCTGGTCGATTTTGGAGTGACCTTTGTCCTTCCGAGTCCCGGCTTGTCACCTTTATTGTCACCTCGATTGGTGATAAAACGTTTGCAATCAAATTGCTCAGCTCAGCGAACAAGTCAACGACTATCTACCCTACCTGAGCTACCATTATTATCCTCCATGAGAACGGTTTGACGTTTCTTTGTCGTTCGTCAAACTAATGTTCACATACATCGCTTTTAACTAGTATGCTAGCCTGTAAAACGAAACCGGATGGAAGAAAATTTGTGTCCTTCTCTTGAGTTGATATTCTCTTCGAGAAAACTCTTCGCAGCTGTCGCAGGGATTTATCGATTCGGATGATGGCCGTTCTTGACAGTGTCGGAATCTTACAAACTTCTGTTGATCAATATGAATTTCAGTATAAACTTTAATGGTTACATTTTACACGAGGGGTACTATGGACTCGGGATCCATTGTCGTAGATGTCTTTGCGGAACTCTGTCCGAATATAAAATGATTACATCAGAGAAAACGCCACCTAGCAGGCGGCGAGTTGGGCAATAAGATTACTGTGGGGTCACTGTGAAGCCAAAAAGTATATCAAGAATGCGGACGTGTTCACAAGCAAGGCTTTAGGACAAACAGTGCTCACTTGTCAACTAAAAACGGCTGAACTAATTAAACTTGATGGGACGATACGTATTAAACATTCGTTATGTGCCTGAATGAGGGATTCAACCAATAATATTCGAAATTTTTCAGGTCAAAATCTTTGGGTTGGATGGCTAAGACATGATTTGATCCATCAAATCACTTGAGAAATAGCGCATTTGTTTGAAAATATCTAAACACGATTGGCTACCAATCAACTCAAAGTACTGTGAGTGCTGACGGAAAACTATTCTTTGTGAGCTTGGTTACTCTGCTGCCGATAAAAGCAACTAGTTCATCGAAGCATCAATTAATAAAGCTGCTATTTATGAGAGTTTTTTCGGCCAATAATCAATTCAAAGTAAATTCGTAATCCCATATAGGTTTGAAGCCCAACATTGCTGCATTTTAATATTCAACATAACAGTAAAACAACAGTGGATGCCAGTTTTCAGCTCTTGCACATTGAAATTTATCAGATCGGACGTGGGAATAAGTGACGGAATGGATAGAAAAAGACGAACGAATTCGTCATCCCGTAGTTGCTTCAATTTATCTTTTGGCATGGAACATGAAGTAGATTCAGCCTGTAGCAAGCAATCAAAGGCTAAGGTGGTATGTCATTCTTTCAAAACATTACCACAGATCAGTCATTCAGTCATGTGAATAAAATCATTTTTTGTAGAGAATGGCTCTGCTTTCCAACCGTAAAGCAGCAAGGGTCGGCGGATGATTATAAGGACGTTCTAAACTTTGTGAGATAGGAAACCGCCATTTTCTCACCTCCGTCTGATAAATCAGAATAGTGTGTTCGTGAGGCTCGGCGTTTCTCCCAGCTTGATGACTGAAACTCCAAGAGTGGACTATTCCTAAGTTATCTTAAACTATTTAATAAAACTCCAGGGCATTGAAGTGAACGAGAACATGCATCACGCGCAGTGTCATTGTTTGGGCTTAGCAGGATTCTTCGGTCACCCAGCAAAGGTGCTAGATGGAACTAATAGCAATATCCCTTCAATCAGAACGTTGCACAACCCGAACACTCGGATCCACAGCAAATACAATTTCAAATGTGCAATTCTAACGATAGGCATCCTTAATTGAATGACTCTCCATTGCAACTAATATTACGGAGCGGTGAGCCACGTATATTAAGGGAATCAAGGAAGGGAAAGTCAACAAAACCTCCTATCTACGTTTTCCGATGAGGAAATTAAGATCTAACAACTTGACGAATTTCGTTGCTAAGCGGTCGGCAAGCGCTGATGAATAAACCGAAAAACTAGGGCAGGAAACTAGCCACTTCGCAAATACACTTGTCATGTTTTATATAATGGTTAGTGACATACCTGTAAATCAGTCTTAACTAGGACATTAATACGCAGGAATTATTCCCCATTATTCGGCCTATTTAGGGATCATTTTGCTCTGCTGCGAAGGATGAAATTACAAGAAATAAAACCTACTTGTCTCGTAGGTGAATCCTTCTCCAAAATCATACATACTACTCTGATCGTACCATGATTTGGTTGCCTCGTCGGCTGAAAAAATGAAAAGAAGACAAAAGAAGTTAATACGAAATGAAACTGCCGTCAAACTATGTATCGCCTACAAATTACAAAATATAGGTAAAAGACTAGATTAGAATCCATCGTCTAGAATCAGATCAGTAACTTTTCCCGAGAAAGACTACTCAAAAGGTTGCCGAAAACCCTTCGGCAGCTCACGATTGGTCTTGTCTTTTTTGGGGCTCATCCAATAGACGAGTTTTCGTCACTTTTGTTTTCCAGTTGAAGCCGTATTGTACAAACTTCGTGAAACAAACTCACCTTTACACCATTCTAATTTTAACGAGAGTAACATCTGGAGTTTGTTTGAGTCTCCGTTAAAGCAAGAGAGGCCAGCAGATAAGTGTACTTAGCAAAAATCAGTAACTGTTATGGGGCGATTAGGCTTATGGACAAATAAGGGAAACATAAAATAGAAATCAGAGGAGTAACACGAAGTGACGTTCTCACGAGTATATTTTTGTTGCAACCAGTCCAATTTGGGCTCAATTAGAACATAAGGTGAAACTCCGGATAAGGGAAACATAAAATAGAAATCAGAGGAGTAACACGAAGTGACGTTCTCACGAGTATATTTTTGTTGCAACCAGTCCAATTTGGGCTCAATTAGAACATAAGGTTGACGGAAACTCCGGGACAGCCCTACCCGATGAGCCCCAAGAAAGGTGAAACCGGTCGTGGGCTGCCGAAGAGATTTCAGCAAACTTGTGAGTAGCTTTCTTCATGAAAATATACTGCGATATCTCAAATATCGTGCCAACCGAAACATGAGGTGGCCTGTTAGCAGCACAGTCAGTTGTAGAATATCATAAACGAGAGACTCATTTGAGTGTCTTGTGAAAATCAAATTGATTTGTAAATGAGGGTTAGGAAAACCTGAGGAGCCTGATTGTAGGTCGACAGATTATTCAAACTCTGTTAGCTGGTGCTTGTGCCAAATTTTTTCCCACAGGTAAAGTTTATATGAAAAAGTTTACATATAAATAAAAATCCACTGAATGATTCAGGTTTAACTTCTATTTACGATGGCATATTTGGGGTCCTCACTCATCGGCCTACAGGTGTATCAAAATTATTCGAAGTAGCGAGTCTTTTTTTCCTCTTGAAAGTCGCCTGAGATTCAGGAAGCCAATCATCTCGTCCCGAGTAGACACACGAGAGACACGAGGCGCAGAGCTATATACTTACATATTTATATAAACATATATGCATATATATATATATATTATATGCATATGCAACCAGACCTGAGTAAAGAAAACCAAAAACATCCCGAATGTTGCCAGTTAGAAAAGACCGGTCCGGTAAGCACCAGCTGGTACTATGCAGTGAGAGTAAAAACCCAGAAAAAAACAGAGGTATGAAGCGGAATGCACTACTGAAGGGGTATGGGTATGAAGTAGTCTTAGGTCATAATTGGTGCTGAAATTTAGAATATTTGATAGTGACACGCTTAAATCCTATTAATGTTGGATTCATTGACAATGTTTAGAAGGCTTAGTGGCTGATCCGACATGGGTCGCCTGTTATTAAAAATGGCGATTACCATTGATGTTGAAGGAAAAGCTATCCAGAAATTTATCTCGTGAATCGGAAAAAAATTGTTTACAAAATCTGGCCAAAGCCTGAGTTAAATACATGCCATGTCACTTATTTGGCCTTCAGTGGTCAAACCCATGGAATGCGACCACAGCAGTTGCAAAGGACAAAATGCGGTTTCTAGAAGACTAACCTCCGAATGGTCCTCGGCCTTCGATGCATCTGTAGGCGAGATTTTCTCCGTACGTTGCCATGTCGCTGTGCCGCATACACTTGGTCGTGGCCAATTCCTCAGCCCACAGTTGTGCCGAGCGAGCCAATGAGGAATCGTACGACAATGGTCCACATCCGTGCCTCTCTCGCAGCCTATAAAGCGGTAACCAAAAACTGACTGTATCTTCAAAAGTACATGTGCAGTATTACCGAAGGATCTTTCCAGTCGCTTTCGAGTCGCTTTCCAGTCGGCTACGGATTATGGAAATCCTCAAGACAAATAGAGTGAATTTTTCGCGTCTTAAACTTATGAGATCGGAAACTCGCGAACTCGTGTAACAGCATAAACTCTCGTGACACGAAACGTCAGGCTAGCCACTGGAAAAGAGCAAGCCACGCTCCGGATTACACCAACGTATTTCAAACTGGGCATCCGTTTCGTTCTCAGCTATATCATGGTTTTGGTCTCTCCAGCAAGACTTTACTTTTGACAAGCTTCGGTCAATTAAAAGGCAAAAAACAATGGTGTTCCACCCTTGGAACTTTACTGTCAAATCTCTCAGTATTCGTAAATTTTGTCCGCGTAATGACGAAATACACTCATTCGCAAACTACGTCGGTGTTAATTGGAATCTACTGTTTATATCATCATTCAAGTAAATATGCCACACAAGAACCGGTATTTGAAATATTCAAAACACTTTATAAATAGAACGTATCATCTATAAGTTCCCTGTGAATTCTTTTGGCAACAAACTGAGGGGCTCTCAATCATCCTGTCAACCAGAAAATTAGGCAGCTGTTGCGTAGCACATTTGTAAAAAAGATTTTCGCTTGACTCTCACGTAAACACCAATATGCTTGGTAAATAAACGTATGACCTTAATTGCATGCAATTCGGTGCTCATACTGAAAGAAGGGTTGGTAGAAAATCGGGAACTCCGTCTATCCAATAAGCGAACGCAAAATCAGTAGCAAGCTGCCTAATGGTGTACAGCTCATGTACCTTATAAATAGTATGTTACATTAGGGAAACAGCTGTATAATTTTCTCGAATTTTTAACAGAAACCGATTACGTTTACAAACAAAGTCAGATTCCACTTCTTGACTTGTCAGAGAAAGACAGCTTTTGCTTGCTTTTGGCTCTAAGCACAAAGATAGGCCATACTATCAGACTACCAGCAGATCGTTTGGTGCTTTTGAGTCCTGGCAATGGGGTGAAAAATTCACCCATTGATTACTTCACTGAATGACCTCACTTTTCGAAATCTACTTATTCTATTGTTTACCTGAGTTCCCTGGGGGGACACTTCTAAGAATGACTGCAAGTGGGAGGGCAGAATTTTCCCATATGTCACATTACTCTTCATAGCTTAAGAAATGGAATATATGGATTTGCTAAACCCTTCATCTGCGGTAGACCAATTTCGGGAAAGCTTCTAGGTGCAACAATCACACGAATGGGAGCATGCAGCACCTGTTTTGTGGCATGCTTGTCCATCTACGTAACAAAATTCAGAACAGTTTGTCATCAACAGTGTGCCGTTGTCCACTTACGAAAGAAATGTGAACCGTTAATGGAGAGGGTCTCCTGCATTTACTGGTTTAATTTTTTGAGTAAAAATGGGGAGTGCCTGATTCCGTCTAGTGCCACCGCAACCAAAGTAAAAGCTACGGAGCACAAAATCTTGGAGGAGCAAAGAAAAGGCTTTACTGATTCAAATCAGCAGATCAACTCATACAGATTCTAAAGCGATCAATTCCCACAGTTCCCTCGGTTGGTATTACTGGATACACCGTGCTCTTTTATTGAAATGCCAAGATGTAGATTCAGATATGAAGTGCGTAAAGCGGTACACCAAGGAACTGTACAATGATTTGGGTTGGAAAGTTTGTCGGGCATGTGTTTTTGTTCTCTTTGGTACATCCAATTTAGAGGTGCGCGCTGTCTGCTCTGACATGAAGTGCGTAAAGCGGTACACCAAGGAATTGTACAATAATTTGGGTTGGAAAGTTTGTCGGGCATATGTTTTTGTTCTCTCTGGCACATCCAATTTAGAAGTGCGGGCTGTCTGCTCTGAAGTAGCTGCGAAGGAATTTTGGCGAAAACGTCAGGTGAACTAAATGACGACTGTTAGTCTGAATCGCACAACAGTGTAATTTTTTATGCATCTTTCAAATGAATGACACTTTTCTTCCTTTGAAAAACAAAGTGTTTGAGTTCGGACTCATCTCCTCATAGGTCGGTCTTTCGGTAAGCCGTTCTTGAAACTACAGCTGAAGCTATCTTCAATCCTCGGTTTTCTTCCAGATACGATTGTCTGGATGTAACTCACAGTATTCGTTGTAGAACCATCATTCCAGTTTTGATTTGGTTTCCCTCTCGCTTGAGGCGGTAGGATTTAATTCGAATCTAAGAACATTCCTCACCCAACAGCATTCCGTTCAGATATTCTCTGTGTTATAAGTGAAAAGCTCGAGTTCCTGGTTGGAACTACTTGGCTTGTTTTCAATAACTTCACGTCCCATAGTTGACACTCATGAAATATTAATGATATCTGATTTAACGCGAAGGGAATAAACCTGTGAAAAGTATGATTACTTTGTAATTATTCCATTCGCATTTGACTTTTGCTGCCATGGGGTGCGCCTGGCGCTGAAAAATGTTAACCAACATTTCCGAACGTCTTAAAGAATTGGTGGCTTTTTAAACATTCCAGCCAAGAAGCGAATTTTCTGCGGGATCGTAAAATCATTATTATGTAAACTGATTGTAAGTGGTGGGACACCTCGAATAGTACCGATGTTTAAATGGGCTTGATAGATTTCCCTAAAAATCGGCTATTGGACGCAAGTCACACGAAGAAAAAAAACTTGTCTTGTCCATGGTATAAAATTGAGCAGTTTGTTAGGGAGTATGGTGAGACACTTGCGAGGACAGATTGTACAGACTCCCGGGCAACCAAGCCGAAAGCCTTAGGCCCTGGAAGCCGTCCGGATCAATCCTTCAGTTGTAAAGTAAAAAGGCCGTAGGTGACTTCTGGACTCAAATGCATGTATAATTCATGCAACTTGGGGTTCAATGGAAACTTTCATATGTGAAAGACTATCAGTACTCCTCATAGTAGTCTGCGGTCCCTAGGTAGCTACATTTATTTCAGAAGATTCTCAAAAATTCTGCGAGCAAAATACAGCTGGCAAATTTGTCTATCTTCATCTACCTTAACTGTAATGTCGACAATAACAGAGTTGGGGTATCAGGTGTTTCTGATCATTTATCACCTTGTCATTCTGTGTTCTGATTAGATAGTTTCGTCTTGCAACGTTACTGGTGACTCTCCTGAGCACCCGGGCGACATACGAAGGCGACGCATTTTTGTCTTTCGGATACGCTCATATTCCCGTGCCTCAGGTAGAGAAAACCAATTCAAGCGAACGATTACCGTGTATTTAACTTGCCTTATTTTGGCTGTCTACAAGTGAACGAATGATTACCGCGTATTTAACTTGCCTTATTTTGGCTGTTTACAAGTGAAGATTTCTTGCATAGACTACTCAGCACTAAGAAAGATGGGATTCCGGGATTGTTTGATTTGGTTTATTCCTCTAACGACGCCAAAGCATAACTCAAAAAACGATAGAACGATGACACTGTGAGATCGAGTCTGCGAGGCCTAAGTCTGATTTTCTACTCGTGAATTCACAAATGGCTACTAGTTTTATTATGAGGAAATGAAGTAAGACCGTCAAAGCAGGATATCATGTATGAAACAGCACATCAGTTGGTCATTGGTTTGTTCACTGAGCTAGGCAATTTGATTGCAAACGTTTCATCCCCAATCGAGGTGACATCACTCACTGGTGGTGTCACCTCGATTGGGGATGAAACGTTTGCAATCAAATTGCCTAGCTCAGTGAACAAACCAATGATCATCTGCCCTACCTGAGCTACCAACATTTTCCTCCATAGAAAAACAGTACATCAATGCTGAGTATGGAAACGAAAGATATGCCTTCTTTTCTGAACAGCCGTCCTCCTCTCCCGGCGTGAATATTTTCGTGAGTCCACACCAAAGGGGGAGGGGGCACTGAACATGCGTTTCATTCATTTAGTAGTAGTGTATACTCTTGGCCATGCAAGGCTTTGTACCCAGGGGATCTGACTCGTAAAGCAAGTGTGTTGGCGCCACTCCACCAGCGCCCGCTGGAAGCATCTGACTTACACCAGGACAGGAAGCTGTCGTTCAAACAAGGGTGGTTTGATCATGAAAACTACAAATACCGCAACAAACGTGTATTCATAGGTTTATTGCTGAGGTCTGTGTGCAGTGGGGTTGGCCAGTTTTCAGACTGGAATACGTATGAACATCACTATCTTGGACAATCACAATTTACGGATACCAACACGAGCAAGTTATGGAATATTTCGGATTTTAGTTCTTCACATACACGAAGTCGTATACTTGACAGATCTAAAAGTGAGAAAACAATTTACGGGAACTAATTTCCCCAGAAAACAGTCGTACACGAACCAATGTTTAGATTTTCACCATCTTTCAAAGGAAAAAGAGAGTAATTTACAAGCTTGAATGAGTCTCGGGGAGTTAAAAATTCGAATCGAGAAATTGTCTTTACTTGCGCTTGACTGTATGAAAGTGTGGGTTTTATGTGTGGCATAGCAATATAAGAACGGTCATAGCTTTCCTTAAATGCAACAACAGTTGGCTTGGTGCTCTGTTTAAGCATCCCGATTTCGTTTCCGGCTACAGTACTAAGTAACATAGTTCGAAGTACATAGGAATTCTGCCCGAATTCAGAGGCTTCGAATACAAGAAGTGGCGGTCAGTGGCGTTATGTAGACAAAGTGTTTGCTATAACAACTCAGACGATCTAAAATGATTTCCGTCCAGTAAATTAACATTTTGGATTGACCGAATACATTTATCGGCGGAGGCAATTCAGCTTGGATTGATTAAGTTTCCCTGTCTATTAGGCATATAAGTTAATCGGAAACGTAGAAACCAGCATACATCGAAAACCGGCAGAAACCGAAGTCACGGCTAACCACCTCGCGCCAGCACAAGCTTCTCATTGTGAGTTAAAACAGGGTCGCTCATTCGGAGCTAGAAAGCCGAATTTCGGAATGTCGATG